CCCCCGCGCCCCCCGGCCTCAGCGTCCCCTCCTGCCCTTTTCTTCTGGCAGCTCGTCCATCGGGACCTGGCGGCCAGAAACATCCTGGTAGCTGAGGGGCGCAAGATGAAGATTTCGGATTTTGGGCTGTCCCGAGATGTTTACGAAGAGGATTCCTACGTGAAGAGGAGCAAGGTACCCTCTCCCTGGGTGTGCCGGGTAGAAGCTCCTGGGGTGGGGGTGACAGCTGCACCCACAGGGAAAGGTAAAGTGGATTACAGAGCACTAAATTTCTAGCCCCAAACCCTTCCCACTCCTGCATCCCTGGAGGCCCGGTTCACGACTCTTCCCACGTCTGTTCCTTCTGCTCCTGAGGACACACCGGCCGTGCCCTCCCCTTCAGAGCGGGACCTGAGGCCCCACGGGGTGTCTTTCTTTCTTTAAATCTCCATCACTTTCAAAGGCCCCTGATGCTGCAGGCATAACGGTCCTCTTCTCACAGTCATTCCTCTTGCTTCTATAGAAGAAAAGGTCACAGCTTCCTTGTGGTGGAACCTTAGCTCTCTGCTCAGAGGAGAGCGAAATGAGATAAACAGGAGCTTGGTGGTCATTCTTTGCAGAAAGAAGTGAATTGCTTTACCAGTGGGGGTTCCCTGGGGTAGGGACTGGGACCCCTGGGCTGGGTGAGTTCGGGAGGCGCCTGGGAACCCCTGGAGATGCGATCAGACACAGCTCAGGGGTCACAGGAGCTTTCTCCTAGTCCAGGAAACAGGTGGTCAACGCCTTTCTGGGGTCAGCTATTCCCCACGTTGTCCTGTTCCCATGACAACTACCTTGATGCTCTCAGTTTGTGGCTCATCTCAGCCCCTCTCCTGCAGCCTCCCTGTGCCAGCCCAGCCAGACAAATTCACGGGCTGCCCAAGGGTCACGCTGACCAGGCATTCAGAGCAGACCCTGCTCAAAAGAGGGAAAAACAGAAAAGCAACCTCATACAATTCGGCTTTGCTTGAGGGAGTAGGAGAAGCCATTGGTGTAGCATCGACTGTGAGGACCATGTTTCGTGTCTTCTGGGATTTCCATTGCGACAGCAGGTCTCAGAACTGACAAAGGGGAAGTGGTGGGGCTGCCCACCCCCAGCCCTGTGGAGGGTGTGGGCAGAGCCTTCCTGTTGACACATTGTCCTCCAGGGAGGGCTTGTGTCATGGTCAGGGAGAAGGGCAAGGCATTTACACACAAAAACCATGCAACCCGCCGAGCACGGCTGCTGGGACCCTACAGACAGCACTGTTACAAACACAAACCCAAGATACGTGCCATTAAGGGCATAAATCTTAAAGAATACTTTTAAGAAAAAGAAATTACAGTAAACATGTTAAAATTCAAGGCATGCATTTTTTAACTTGATTTGTGCCTTAAGACTTACCTGCTGAAAAGTTGTTTTTCAAGTTGTATTGGAAAGGATTTGCTGTGTCAGACCCAGCACTGCTTGGGGGGTGGGGGCAGTCATTCAGAGATGCTAAAAGGGCCCCAGGACAATGTTAGAAACGCCGGCCTCAAGGCATGTGAACAGATTTCTTCCCTGAAGACTTCTCAGAAGAAAGAGCCTTTAGTGTTAGTTGGCATCTGAAATCCCCAAGGTGGAAATGCTGGATGTTGGTTTCCCAAACAGATTTGCCCTCAGAACTTCAGGATAGGTCTTGCTGGACCATGTTCTTGGCCTGTGGGCTGGGAAGCACTGCTATGCCACACCCAGCGCAGCCTGGAACTCCTCCAGGGTTTTAGGTCTCTTTGGGGTTTTTCTTAGGGATGAGGCATGTGACAAACTTGCCTGTGTGGCTGTGGGTGGGCCTCTGGGCACTCCACGGTGCGCTCAGGCTGCAGCCCCAGCTGGTTACTCAGCAGTCTCCCCAGAGACTTGGCTGACCTCCACCGCATTCCCAGGGCCTCAAAGTAACATTAACGTCTTTCTTCACCTTCTCTTTAGGGTCGAATTCCAGTCAAGTGGATGGCAATTGAGTCCCTTTTCGACCATATCTACACCACCCAAAGTGACGTGTAAGTGTGGGTTTGCCTTCCTGGATTGGGGGTATCAGAGGCATCTGTGCTCACACGGGGGCCCCGAGTGCCCGTCTACAGCACCAGCCATCCTCAGTGACCTCCACACTGAGGGGTCTTCATGTATTTGTTTGGCAAAAGGCTGGGCCCAGGCAGTGGTTCTGAGAGCCCCAGTAAAAAGTGTGAGAGCCAAAGCAGGTGGCTGAAAACCATCCCTGCCCCTTGCCACTCCCCGCACCTTCCTCCCAGTCTTTGGGCCTCTTAGCAACACCCAGGCTCAGCCCAGCAGTGACCCCTGCCATGGGTCCAGAGCAGGGGCTTGGGCTCAGACAGGGCACCCGTGACTCTTGCCCACCCGGAGGCGGTCTTGTATGAGCTTGTAGGCTGATGTACCCTAAACTACTCGAAGATGGGAGCCAAAACCCATTCTTCCAAGTCAAATGACAGGGTTTGATAGCTTTTATAAAACACTGCACACCTGCTTCTAAAGTTTTCTGCAGCTGACAGACATGTGTCTCTTGAGTAACGTGGGCTTATGAAAAGGCAGCTATTGAGCAATTTTTAATACCACTTTTCTCGGTGCACGAGTTGACTGTAGGACAATTGGAAAATGCAGAGAAAAGCATAATGAAGAGACCATAAGTCACTTGGATCACACCACTCCACATAGCTGCCGGCCTGGCAGGTGTAGCTTTCTAGTGCTTTCCATGGTGTGCATGTGTATACCCTATTGCCGTAAGTGGGCTCACGTGGCACACTGTTTTATGATATGATTTTGTTCCCACCTCACAGTAAGTTTTCCCTCACAGTTAAATATTTTTCTATAACTTTATTTCTCCTAAGATTTTCTGAAAATTTTGAAGCACACAGAAAGGAGGTGGAAGAATTGCAGAGGGCACCCAAGTCCCATTGCCTAGGTTCTCGCTCCTTTGGGTGCCAGCAGCATGTCCCATTGTGGTTGTGGCTGCTCCAATGGCAAAGGCTTGGGCAGGGACTTCAGTGTCACAGGGGACGGGGGCCAGGCAGACAGGCCTTCTTCACCTGCATGCCACGGCCGTCTCTGCAGCCAGATGTGGGCTGACATCTGTGAGTGCTGGCTTGCTGTCTGTGCTGGGGGCCGATAGGTCAGCTGCTGGGGTGGACTTCTGGACTCTGCAGAGGGGCCACAGGGGGCAGGTGAAGATGCTCACTGGTTCACTTGCTTGCCACAGGTGGTCCTTTGGTGTCCTGCTGTGGGAGATCGTAACCCTCGGGGGCAACCCCTACCCTGGGATTCCTCCTGAGCGGCTCTTCAACCTTCTGAAGACTGGCCACCGGATGGAGAGGCCGGACAACTGCAGTGAGGAGATGTGAGCGGGCTTTGCTCTGGTGGCCTTCCTCTGACCCTGACACACTGGGCTTGTGAGGGGCAGGTGCACCCATTACCTCCCCGCCCCTGAGCAGCCCTGTTCTGTAGGTCATAAACCACCCATCTGCTCTTCCCACCAGGTACCGTCTGATGCTGCAGTGCTGGAAGCAGGAACCAGACAAGAGGCCGGTGTTTGCCGACATCAGCAAAGACCTGGAGAAGATGATGGTTAAGAGCAGAGTCAGTACCGGAGTGGGGGAATTCCAGCCTTGCCCCTGGGTGGTGGTCCTGAGCAGAAGTCATAGCTGATGCCCAGAGAGCCGGCCTTCCTAGAACAGTGCTAGGAAACTGCTGGGAAAGCACGGGACCCTGCTGCATGTGTTGGAGCAGGCAGTGGAAGTAGCTGCACGTGTGAATGGCCGTGCTTGGGAGCTGAGGCCCGTAGCAGCATCCTGTGCAAAGTCAACATCAGGGACGTGTTCAGATTTCTGAGCTCTGACGAATGTTCTAGATAGCAGGTTTCCCTTGGAGGGAAGCTGAGAATTGTGCAGCATGTTGCAGCCGCTTCTTGGCACGCGTTGCTTCTGTGCGAGTAATGTGGCTACACACGTTTGCCCAGCACCTGAGGGTTTGTGAACAGGCTGGTTCCCCAGTGCTCCTCTCTGGGGCAGCTGGGCTTGGCTGGATGTGGCATCCCCCCAGTGGTGCGTGGCACCTGCTGCTCTCCAGGGCTTGGTGACAGGGCACTGAGGGAGCACATTTCTGCTCCCAGGTAGGTGACCTTCTAGGGAAAAAGACAGAATAGAAAACACACAGGGGGAGCAATGAATACCTCGGAGCAGGACCAGGCCAGGTGGGAGCCACAGGAGCCCAGTGCTGGCCAGGACCTCTGTCCCACAAGTAGCAAGGGGCTAGGGAAGTGTCCAGCAGTGGCCCATGGCCTAGGTGACCGGCCATCTCTCTCTTCCAGGATTACTTGGACCTTGCTGCGTCCACTCCATCTGACTCCCTGCTTTATGACGATGGCCTCTCAGAAGAGGAGACACCCCTGGTGGACTGTAATAGTGCTCCCCTCCCTCGAACCCTCCCTTCCACATGGATTGAAAACAAACTCTATGGTAGAATTTCACATGCATTTACTAGATTCTAGCAACGTTGTTCCCTCTGCACTATCTTTACTCTCTGTACTGCTTTTTAAGAGAGTTTCTGGTCTGAACGAAACCAAAGTCTGCTCTGAACCTTTTTATTTGTAAATGTCTGACTTTGCATCCAGTTTACATTCAGGCATTTTTGCAACTGTTTTTCTAAAAGGATGTGAAAATAAGTGTAATTACCATATCACCCAGCAACTTATGATGTTAGAGGGGAAATGGATCAGGGTAGAACTCTCAGGGGATATTGAGAAAGTGATGGATATGTCATCTCTGGGGTAGGAATCAAGTCACAGTACTTTTATTTAACTACTGGGATAAATTTACCCAATCTGGGAATGTATTTAATTTAGAGAAGAGCGGCCAACACCACCCAGCCTGCATTGAGAGCAGAGCCAAGGCCCCCAGATTGCCCCTGGGTGGGCGGACACCTCTCGGAGGCCGCAGTCCCAGCTGCGTGTCCACCATTGGGGCAGTGAGGCAGCAGGAGCCCCGCAGGCCCTGGGAGGACACACCCATACTGCTGTTTTCACATCCTTTGTACTCCCACCGTCTGGACGGTTGTCACCTAAGAAGTCAGTGCTAAAAGCTGGAGCAAACACTTTTAAAAGAACATAGTCTGTGGTGCTATGGTCTTGCAATGGACAGTAAATACGGTTCTTGCCAAAACTCCTTATTTTGTCTTCAATTAAACACTTGAGATTTTTTCTGTTTCCTAACTTCATCAGTGATTGTTTTGAAATCTTGGTGTCTTGAGCCTTTTTCAAGCCGAGATTGTTCCTTTTGCATGCCTCCTGACGTACCGATTTCTCACTGACTTTGGGTCTAGTGCGACACTCCATTTGTGCTGCCGATGCTGTGGGGCCAGCCTGCGTGTGCCCTTGGTTTGGAAGGTCCTCTCCTCCGTTGTAGGCTTGGACGACAGACGAATAGGCTCCCTTAGGTTGGAGAATGTTTTATAGAATGCTTCTGCTGCAGTAAGCCATTTAGTACAGCAATGTGCTGATACTTTACGATGCCTTAGAGAAAGAGCTAAACAGTTCAACAAGTATGTATCAGATTGGAGAGTCTGAATCTCAGAAAAGTCAAAATTGGTAGCATCTGTTAAGTTACATTTACTAAACGAGCATGTGCTATTTCCCCTAAGTATAATAGTGTTTTGGAAACCTGGAGCACAAAACCAATAACGTAATTGACACAGAAACCATGAGTTTGGTTTGAACATCAAAGGGAGTTTTGCCAAGGCCTTACTGTCTGCACATGAAGTTTTGGTTCTTCAGTGCAGAACAAATTATCTGTTTTCATTTTTAGGCATGTCAGACCCGAACTGGCCTGGAGAGAGTCCTGTACCACTCACGAGAGCCGATGGCACTAACACTGGGTTTCCAAGATATGCAAATGATAGTGTATATGCTAACTGGATGGTTTCACCCTCAGCGGCAAAATTAATGGACACGTTTGATAGTTAACATTTCTTTGTGAAAGGTAATGGACTCACAAGGGGAAGAAACATGCTGAGAATGGAAAGTCCCCAGCCCTTTCTTTGTGCACATCACACTGGCCAAGCCGAGTTCCCAGGTGGCAGACTTGTTTTCCGTAGTTTGTTTTAACTGCCTTCCAAAGTGGTTGTTCTTGCAATAGCCAGTGATTTTCCCTCCTAGCAGACATGCCACACTAGCTGAGAGTTCTGAGTCTCCGTGGTTAAGTACCTGTGTTCCTTTCTCTTCAGGACCTGCAGTGCCCAGTGTCGGTCTGTATCCATCAGTGACCACCACACGCTCTGTGTTCATGTGTGTGGGTCTGTCACTCACTACCTTGTATAAGAATTTGTACCTGAACTGTTTGATTTTTCTGGTTGCTACCAACAAGGCAACAAGATTTACACATGAAGCACACACACCCAAAAAAAGGCAGCAGGAAAAAACTGGCCAAAATGACCTGTCCTTGTTCAGAATGAGAGCCCAGTGGGGCCTGGGAGGTGGTGTCAAAGCCCGGCCAGGGCTGGAGGGGAAGAGGGGGACCTCAGGACAGGCCTCAGCTCAGCGTTCGAGATCCTGAGAATGGCTTTTTTTAAATCATGTAACCTTTTCTTAGGAAGACATTCAGTTTTTATCATGATTAAAATGATTCTTAGATTTAGCACAATGGAGAGATATGGTGTCGAATTTGCCACGTAGTTGGTGGTGTGAGGGAGCAGGGCTCACAAGACACACTCATTCATACTGGAAAATCATGTAACCTTTTCTTAGGAAGACATTCAGTTTTTATCATGATTAAAATGATTCTTAGATTTAGCACAATGGAGAGATGTGGTGTCGTATTTGCCACGTAGTTGGTGGTGTGAGGGAGCAGGGCTCACAAGACACACTCATTCATACTGGGCCCACAGCATCTTCCTCATGGGGGCAGTACTGAGTGACTGCCACCCCCTGACCACAACAGTATGAAGAAAGGGGGCATTTGACATGGAGTGTCCTGCAGTCCCACGCTTGCTGACAGCAGAGGCTCGCTGCTGGGAATCCCACCCCCGCCAGCCATCAGTGCACGCCCAGCCAATGAGGAAAAGCAGCAACTCACCTTACCCATGAGGAGTGGGTGGGGTGGTGCTCGCTCTAATTTGTACCTTATCAGCTTGCTCATCAAGACAGATCAGCTAGTTGTGTTAGGAGAAGCGTTGACAATGACCAAGGACTGCTATACCTCTGATTACAATTCCGACGTGTAAATGACAATGTTTTGGCTCTTATAGAGCTTGTGTGAAAAGGCACATGTATCAGTTCTTCCTGTTTGTGAATTAATGCTGCTGTAGCAAGATGTTTTTGTTTCTTAGATTCTGACCATGACTCACGAGCTTCTGGTCATTCTTCACTGCTTGTTTGTGGTCACAGACACTCGACACTCCTCCAGTCTTGTGGGGGTGGCTTTTGGGAAGTCCCAGCAGCTCTTCTGGCTGTCTCGGCAGTGGAGTTTTGCAGGAAAGGGTCGGGTTACCAAAACACTGCCTGGTCTTCAGACTTAAAGCACTGTGATGGAACTTAAAATAGTCTCATTAAAATACTGTATTTTGTAGACATTTCACAAAAGCAGTGCAATTATGGCATTTTATGTGGCCAAGTAGGCTTGAGTGAGTATGTGACAGAGCCACATAGTGCGAGTGTGTGCATGTGTGCACACCCAGAGAGCACTGGAAAAATGCAACTGGATGTGGAACGTGGCCGTCATTTGGGCCATTTTTCAGGTACACTGTGATAAGTTCTTCTGCAAATATCCGTACACTTGGTAAAGCTTTTGGTTTTCGGATTTGCTTAATGATAGTCTTATTTAATGCAGAAATGAGGATAAACTCACAAATTATTAAAAACTACACAGTAAGTACAAATTGCTGCAACAGGTTTGTCAGTGGGGTGAGAACTCTGGGTCTACACTGCGGAGCCAGTGATGGGAATTAACCCTTGACTGATAATCTCATTGTCTACCCTGAGGTGTAAAAGTACGCATACTTATTAGTTCTATCAGACAGAATTTTCGTATACATATGTGAAGAATTACTAAGTATTAAGTATTACTCAGTATTAAGTAGCAACTTGTCAGTTATTCAAGTTTGTAAAATCTATTTATGAAAGGTATTAAACCATACCATATTATTTGTTTTTGTAATCAAGGTGACTAAGAAAATAATTTCAGTTGTGTAAATAAAATCATGTATCATAAAATGTGTAAATTCCTTTCTCTTTAACTTCCTATTTGGAAACATCAGATTTCCAATTTTGAAGTTTCTGTACAAGAAGGAAGATGTCACAAGGGAATCTACCACGGTAACCACCAGGAATCAATAGTGATCAGGACTAGGGGCTTGTTACCAGCTTGTCTTCCATGATAGGCACAAGAACAGGCACGTTAACAGTAACTTAAAAACTCAGCTGACTCTACCTTCAAGGAATTCCTTCAGGTTTCCTTCCCTAGAAAAAAGTGGCAGCCAATGTCGAGTTTAGGTATTTGCAGGTCACTCGCAATTTGCTTGCTGCAGATCTCTTGACACTGGACTTGGAGTTGTGAGAGAGAGAATGTGAAAGGCGTGGTCATGAGAGGTCCATTAGAGGTTGCGGCACGTGCTGCCCCAGACCACCAGGAGCTGCGTAGTAGCTGCTTGTTTCTCTGCTCCCCTCAGGGTGTGGGCATTCTACCAGCTCTTCCTCAACGACTGGCAAGGAGCAGGCCAGCCAGTCGGCAAACACAGATTGTTGCCAGCGTAAATCTGACCTGCACTTGCATGGCATGTTGGATGCCAGGGGCCTGTGTCATTTCTGGAGCTGGTGGCAAACATGTGGCACGTGTGCACGCAGGCCCGTGCACGCAACACCAGGGCCTGCCCTGCCCGTGAAGCCACAGCCCCCGTGTGGTGCCTGCATCTGCTCCTGCTTCTGTTTCCTACTCCCATGTGGACCTCGGGGGCCGGGAATGAATCTCTAGGGCCGGTTATTTGCTGAATGTTGGAAAACTCGGGCCAAGAAAGCTAATACTAAAATCCCCTTTTTCAAGAGCACAGACTTTTTATTAGGAGCATTTGTGTGTGTGTGTGTTTGCTTTTCGTTCTTTTATTTTCTCCTAAAAAACACGTTTTCTGCCAGTCTTCACAAAGGATTCCTTCCCACCATGAGGCCAGTTTATTTGGGTGGAAATCTAGTTGGATATGTCTGAAAGTGGAGCGTGGACAAATGCTTTACATGTAAAAGACGATTCGAAGGGAAAGCACAATTTCCGCCAGTGTGACGTCCCCTCGGGCAGAAGGAGCAGTGAGCAGTCCCTCCCCTTCCTGCAAGCATGTTCATACGCAGTGGATTTAGCTGCCCAGGCAACTGGAGGGTGGTTGTAGGAAGTGCTGAGAAATCCTGACCTCTCGGGCCCTGAGAAAGATGTGGAGAGAGCGGGTGTGAAAGGCATGTGCAGCAGCAGGCGTGGCCCCTCATGTCTTCAGCGTCCTCGGCTCCTGTGTCCACATGGAAAGCACCCTCCACCTGGGCTGCCACCCTGTCCCCGTCTCGTCTCTGAGGCAACAAACTTAACTTCAACTTTGTAGAATCTCCCACCTCTTTAGGGGGCTGGGACTCAAATGAAGGATCATCTTAGCTGAGATCATAAAAAACCAGAGCCTGTGTGTAGAGGATTTTTCAGTGTGGGGCACGTTGCTGTGTCCTGCAGCGGTGGCCGGGAGGGTAGCTGTCTAACAGCGGCAAGGACAAGCTTTCCTCCTAGAGTTAAGCAGGCAAAGGTCATGAACACCCAAAAGAAATCACAGTTAATCTTTCCAGCTACGGTTTTGAGTGCTGAGTCAAATGACAAGATATTTTTGCAGATGTTTCTGGAATGTGTTAAATTTCAGGATCTTGCCAACCAATATATCTCAGCCAAAGCCCAGGCAGGGAGCCTTCACAGGGAGCACATCTCGCTCTGGTGGCCACAGGGACGTCAATATTGCAGGGATCTGAGCTGGGCAGCATGGAGGAACCCGCAGCCCGAGACCACCCCAGCACCTGTGACTTCAGGAGTTCCCTGCCACATCAGGAGAGACCATAAACCTGCATCCTTTCAGATGACATTGAGCAATTCAAGTTAAAAATGAGTCAGCAAGCAAGGTAAGGAGACTGCACTCTAAAGATAAAAAAATTATTTTTCATTTTTTGACAAGGGAACGATTTTGATATTTCATACACAGACAATATTTATCATGCTGTCAATGTCTTG